CCAGGGAAACTAGAAAACTGAAGCTGAAGCTGGAGAAACCTTGGCCACTGAAGAGAGTGGAAGAATCCTGCAAGGGAAAGAACCAAGAAAGAGTGCCCAAATTCTGTCTACCCACACACCTCTGACTAAAACCTGAGTCATTTCTGTGTGTAACAGACTCAAAGCACCCAAATGAAAGGCAAAGATCTGTACTGAGATGAGTTGCTGCCCAATAAACTGTGCACAGTTTAAGTTCAGCAAAGATAATTACCTCCTAAAATAAAAAACAATGCTCATTTGAGAAAAATAATTCAGAACCTTCACAATTAACATTTATCATGTCCAGGATATAATTCTAAAATTATGCAGCATATTAAGATGGTCAAAGGAAGCAGTGCATGTTTTTAGAATGGAAGCTTTAAGTCAACTACAACCATGTGTTGCTTAACCTTGGGGATAAGGTTAAGATGCATCATTAGGCGATTTCATCATTGTGCGAACATCATAGAGTGTACTTACACAAACCGAGATGGGATAGCCTACTACACACATAGGCTGTGTAGTATATAGCCTGTTACTCCTAGGCTACAAACCTGTACAGCATGTTACCGAACTGCATACTACAGGCGATTGTTACCCAACAGTAAGTATTTGTGTATCTAAACATTTCTAAACATAGATATGGTACAGTAAAAGAAAAGGTACAGTAAAAATACAGTATAATAATCTTATGGGACCATCATCAGATATGTGGTTCATCATTTACCGAAAGTCCTTATGTGTCATGTGACTGTATTTGATGCCTCAAAGGCCATTATTTTTTAGAAGCTTTTTCTCCTCCTTTTTTCTTTCTTTTTTTTTTTTAGACAGCATCTCGCTTTGTTACTCAGGCTGGTGTGCAGTGGCATCATCATAGCTCACTGCAGCCCCAAACTCCTGAGCTCAAGCAATCCTCCCACTTCAGCCTTCCAAGTAGCTGGAACTACAGGCTTATGCGACAGCACCAGGCTAATATTTAAATTTTTTATAGAGATGGAGTCTTGCTGTATTGCCCAGGCTTCCTCCTTTTTTCTTATGTCAGCAGTTCAAAGTGTAGGCAATGATTCCCTGGTGGTTCCTGAAACCACTTCAGGAAATTTACAAGGTAAAAATTATTTTCATATTACTATTAAGATGTTATTTATCTTTTTCAGTATATTGACATTTAAACTGATGATGTAAAGCTGTTGGCACCTTTGTACAAATTCAGGCCGTAGCATCAAACTGGCTGGTAGTCATTGTATTCTTCACCATTACACACTGTCAGTTACAAAAAGAAATAGAAGAGACCAGTGTGAGCAAGAGTGAGACCCGATCTTTACAAAATATAGAAAAATTAGCCAGACGTGTTGTATGCCTGTAGTCCCAGCTACTTGGGAGGCTGA